AGCAAAATTTTATAAGAGTTAAAAGAAAAATGCTGAAATTTTAAAATTAATAATATAGTAAAAAAACAGGAAAATATTGATAACAGTTAAATAATTTCTAATTATCCTATAAAAAAGATATTGATAACGTGGTGATTAAAAATTATTATTAATAATTAATAATAAAGTAATGAAGAATTTATCAAAGTAATTATTGATAATAATTAACGACAAAGTGATTAAAAAATATTAATAATAATTAATAATAAAGTAACAAAGAATTTATCAATAATAGTTATTGATAATAATTGGTAATAAATTGATTAAAAGTTATCAATAAAAATTAATAATAAAGCAATAAAGAATTTTTTAACAATAGTTATTAATAATAATTGGTGATAAAGTGATTAAAAATTATTAATGGTAATTAATAATAAAGTGACAAAGAATTTATTAATAGTAGTTATTAATAATAATTAATGATAAAGTGGTTAAAAATTCAAATTGCTTTTTTATTCTAGTTGAAATAATTTTCAAATTATTCAAAATCATTCATTAAACTAATTTTATATTTATTTAAAAACTTATCTAATTATTGTTGCAAAAAAAAAAGAAAAAATGTTATTCGCTGAATAAATGATAAATTTGCTAAGATTTAGTATTTTCCTATCAATAATTAATATTTTTTATATAATTTCCTATCATTTATGTAATTTCCTATAATAAACAATTTCCGACCAATAATTAATAAATTAATAACTTAAATTGTTGTTCCCTTTTTTTTTTGATTTTTCTATAATAATTTCAAATCACTCAAAATTAATTATGTAGTTTCGAATTACTTAGCAAATTATTCAATTATTATTGCAAAGAAAAGAAAAAAAGAGAAAATTAGTTATCATTGCTAGTTCAATTAATTATCGTTACTAGTTCAATTAATTATCATTATTAGTTCAATTAATTATCATTATTAGTTCAATTATGGTATTTCAGTTGTTACTATTTGCAATTGATGGATTAATTTTGAGCGGTGTTGGACAATACTATTCAAATTTGGGCGGTAAAAGATCATTAATGTTAACACCAAATAAATGGTATTATAATATTTATTCGAAATTACCATTAACATTTGGTGAAATGCGCTTAAATGGACAATATTTTGCAACAGCTATCACAACAATCATGATAATTATAACGATTATTTTGCATATCATACAATTATATTGGCGCAAATATTCTCGTTTATTGGTAAATTTAAATTTATTTTTTTAATTTATTTTTTCTTTTCTTTCTTTTTTGGGCATTAAAAATTATTAATTAAATTAGATAAAAGATAAACAAAAGAAAAAAAAACTGCACAAATGTAATAAATGAGTAAAGAGAATAAATAAAATAGAAAAAGAATTTTTATTAAAATCATTAAATTTTTTTTTTTGTTTAGCAAGAAAAAAAATTGATTTTATTCAATTAAAAAAAAATTTTTTTTCCAACTTGATTTCGATCTTTTTTTCATTTTAGCTCTTAAATTTCAAATTTTTTTTTTTTTTTTTACAAAATAATGTTTAAGTTTGTTTTGTTAAATAACGGTATTGGTTTTGTTAGAAGGAAAAAGAAATAAATAAAATGGAAAATATGCGCACGAAAAAAAAGAACTAAATTGATTTTAAAATGTAATATAATTCGGTTTTAG